ACAAGGTCATGGACCGGGGCCGCCCGAAGCTACACGCGATAGGCGTGAGCGACGGCCGTGGCCAATTGATCCACAAAATCCCATTTCTCTTCAACAAAGCTGATCTTATTGAACACGAAATAGACTAAACTGGACATATAAACGCTCATGGTTCAAGAGTTGCTGGGAGAAATCGAAAATCGTTCGGTCATAATCTTAGTTAAACATGCTCGCCTATATGCACGGTTTAATCTGAATTTCTCGACAACTAATCGAACACATAACCTTAATTTGATCTTATTAACAGGGTTATAAACTGAAGAGGAATTTACCTCACTGATCGCTCGACGGAACTCAGAAAATAAGCGTGGCTTCCTTCCTCGCGTGTACTCCGTGCGGTGTCCTTAATTGCCGTGCGATTGGCTAAGAATTTCGGGGCACTTGGTTGCTGAAAGTGATGATATAAAGCTGATGGGTAAGAGGAGATAAGGTGCTGCTTTCCTTAGGAAAATTTTGGGGGAAATTCGATCCAAAACATCCCTATTTATACACGGCCGAGGTAAGGAAAAGATGATGGCCGTGTGATGTGGCCCCTTTTAAAGCTTAACACTTGGTCTCTTATGGCAACTTCAAACATGACTCATCCACCTCTCCACTTGCCACGTGTATCCTCAAAAGGAATGAGGAAATTTGGTTTCCTTAATAGAAAGGAACTCACGGCATTATTTAGAATTTTTGGGCAAAATTGTGCTAAGTGCACGGCTAACAACGCTTAGATGTGATTAATTAGGATTAATCACCTATTTGATGTTTAATTATTTAATTAAACATAATGCTTAATTACCAAAATTATTTCGAACGTAAACGGTACGTCGAAAATAGATTTCGGTAATTCTGACTGAACATACTTAATTCCGAAAATAATAAACGATAACATTATTATATCGGAACTAAACGTAATTTTATACTGATAAAATATCGGGATATTACACTATGTGGACTGACATGTTATATATTTCTAACAAACACAAGTACTTATATTAAAATATCATAATTTTATTATATATATATATATTATGTTATGAATTTTGGAAGTATGTAAATCCGTTTATAAATATGACTGTCTAAACCGTTAGATTTGCCTAATAACAATCTTAATGAATTTGGTGATACAGTATGTGTAACATATGTCTATTTAAAATGTCAAAAAATTATTCTATAGCCTAAAGGTTGGGTAAGTCGGCCGGTTCTAATTTTTGAACAAAAATATATACTTATACTGAATTTTGTCATATTTTTGTTTATATTATTATTTAAAGCATGATGCACATATATATGAACACAAAATAATGTGAAAATGTTCAGTGGGCTTGCCCTTTGTTAAGTTTGGCGACCAACTGGGCCTCAAATCGTATTCCGATTTTATCATTTATTTTAGTGAATTATCAGGGCAGCCACAAATAGGTCCACCCACAAATCTCCAACTTCAAATACTTAAAAATATAAAATACAAAATCATAATCGTTATAACTATAAATTTAAGCATTTACAAGTAGCAAGTTTGTATTTCATTTTTTTTTTAAAAAAAAAATTTGATTAGTTTTCGAAATATTCAAGATATTGTAACTATAAACATCATTTCATACATATAAACTACTTTTCATAAAAATGATAAAGCTCACAAAAGTTTGAGTATTTGTTTGGTGATTAAAATATAATAAATATTATAATCTTCCACTCATATTTAAAATTAAAGTATGTTCAATGTTGTAAGATGTAAAATATATTATTATACATTTCGATTACACTTTGAATGGAACGGAACATTACTCCAATGATTGATCGTAATACGAGGCGCATGTTTCGCATTTTACCTATGATTTATGTGAAGGGACAAAAATAATGATCTCAATCTAACACACACAAAAAAAA